GTGGTGTAGTGGTTAAGAGCGGTAGTCTCGTAATCTGGGGAACCGGGTTCGCGTCTCCGCTCCTCCACATGCAGCTGCTGGGTGACCTTGGGCCAGTCACACTTCCTTGAAGTCTCTCAGCCCCACTCACCTCACAGAGGAAGTGGGGAGGAAGGGAAAGGAGAATGTTAGCCGCTTTGAGACTCCTTCGGGTTGTGATAAAACGGGATATCAAATCCAAACTCTTCTTCTTCATACACATTTTTGCCAGCATCTACACAACATTGTTGGCATTCAGACTCCCTCACCCCCATTTAATGTGGATTTACCTTTTCAGGAGGAATGCTAATAAGCCGCACACACACACACACACACACACACACACTTGCAATATCTGAGCAATTCCTTTTATGATACTAAGAGTTTTCTTCAAAGTTAGTCCTACTCAGAGTAGACCCATTGAAATTAATATAGCTGCCAATTTAGACCAATTAATTTTAGGGTAGAACTTAGATGGCTACAGCCCTAAGCTCACATCCGGAGGAACCCAAAAGAGGCTCCTATCAGGTATCCTGGTGAAAAAATAGTAAAATGGCTGATCTGTTGCTAGATATGGTTGCTTGTTACAATCTGCTTCATTGGGTCAACGGTGGACAAACTTGATGATCCTTTCCTCCTCTAATAGTTTTCTCATGAAATCTGCCAGTGATAGCTACTGTGTGAAAAATCAGCTTTGGATGGGGAAAAGGCACTGGGGTGATGTAAGAAAACCACTCTGATGTCATACCCTCCGAATTCTGGAGATCCGATACCAGGATGTGTATCTTCTGGGATGCACACCCAGGCCAGTCATGTGACCCACGCCTCACTCTACTCTAATAAAAGTGCTTTTTTGGGGGTGAGATGGCGAGAGTTCACAGCACACAAAATGGCTGTTGTGATCTTGCACAGAGAAAAAAGTATGTCCCATTTTTTTCTCGGACACACAACAAGTATGTCATGTTTTGAAGGTGAATCTTAGTGTGGAAAATCAGCTCCACAACCAAAATCTGATGAGGCCTAATTCAACCTGAACCTTCCCCTAGAAATAACTTTGAGACCAGCTAGCCTCTATTGAGTGCCTCAGGTTGTGCAGTCCTAACTTTGGACATAGGTTGGAGCTGTACCATTATGAAGACTGGTGGCAATTCAGAATTACTCCTTCCTTTGTGTTGTCCCCTTTCCCAACTTGAAGTGTGTGTTTGTGTGTGTGTGAGAGAGAGGGAGGGAGGGAGGGAGGGAGGGAGGGAGGGAGATGAACTGGATTGGACTTTACTTTTGAATGTTTGGCTCAATTCTTCTTGTTACCCGGTGCAGTGGAGACCAAAGGCTTGGAGAGGCTCTTAGGTGACGTAGCTCCTGGGAAGAGGGATTGATTGTTAAGCCACTCAGAGAACTGTAGTCCAGAATGGGGAATAGGAGTCACCTAACAACTCGCCCTGCCCTTAACAGACTACAGTTCCCAGGATGCTTTTGGGGAAGCCATGGCTGCTTAAAGTGGTATGATACTGTTTGAAATGAATAGCGCAGATGGGGTCTAAGTTAGGATGAGCATATGAAATCAAACATCTTAAAGCTCCTGATATGTGTACACACACACACACACACACACACACACACACACAAATTATATATGTATAATTTTATAGCAGGAAAAAAAACCTGTTACTGCATTTATAGTAGGAGAAAAGTTAGCAAAATCCTTTTGATCATCTCCCTTGGCAGAAGTTTCAGACTGTAGAGCACTTTAATTAATTCAATAAGTTTTGTAGGCCACTGGGGGTATCTTCCAGAAATTTGAACAAAATTAGTCTATAGGCATGGGACTTAATCAGGCAACAAAGTTTTCAAGAGTTAGTAGCAAACTTTTTGTTCTGTTGGTACATTAGGGGAAGCAGATAATGAGGTTGGTTTGGAAGGGGAAATCAATTAGCATTTGTTTTGCTACCTGCACACTAATCAGAGAATGAGGCAGAAAAGTTTTGTGTTTGTTTGTTTGTTTTTAATTGAAAAGCAACAGACTTAGATTGTCCATCAAGAGTCAAGTGGTAAAGTGGAACATCAAACTAATTCATTTGTGATAAAAAGAATATACCCCCCCCCACAAAAAACCCAATGATTTAACATTCACATAGGTAAAATCTTATTCTATTTATTTTATTGTAAACATTATTGCATTTCATATCCCACATTTCCTCCAAGGAGCTCATTATTCTCCCCCTCCCCCTTTTATCCTCACAAGAATCCTGAAAGGCGGGTTCGAGGAAAAGAGAGTGACTGATCCAAAGTCACCCAGTGATTTGGTCTTCCGGGTCCCAGTCTGGCCCTCTGACCACTGCGCCACCCATTGGCCACTAGCCCATGACTACTAGCCAATGATAGCACTCACCATAATGACTGTATGCTATTTCCAGGACCAGAAGCATCATGCTTCTGAATACAGTTGTACCTCTAATTATGAACGTAATTTGCTCCGGAGGTCTGTTCTTAACCTGAAACTGTTCTTAACTAGAGGTGTGCTTTCACTAATGGGGCCTCTTGCTGACGCTGCGCCGCCAGCACACGATTTCCATTCTCATTCTGGGACAAAGTTCTCAACTCGAGGTAACTCTTCCAGGTTATTTAAGGCAGTGCCATTTTTCTCCAACATTTCTCTGTTGAAAATAGGGACATCCCATTCCAGAAAGATAATTTTACTATTTATACCCCACACATCTTACTGGGATGCCCCAGCCACTCTAGGCAGCTTCCAACATATATAAAAATATAATAAAACCTGAAACATTTTTTTTTAAAAAAAACCTACCTATACCAGATTGCTTTAAAATGGCCTAGGGGTCGGATAACTCCCTACCCTCCAACATTTCTCTAACGAAAATAGGGACATCCTAAGGAAAAGTGGGACATTCCGGGATCAAATCAGAAACCAGGATGGCTTCTCCAAATCAGGGATGTCCCTGGAAAATAGGGACACTTGGAGGGTCTGTGATGGTTGATGTTTGGACGGTTTGAACTGAGCAGGACCTATTGGGAATTGTAATCCAAACATAACAAGAGCACAGATTGTAGAAGGCTGATTCAAGCATTGTGACCATCCTCCGAAGGCATCTTTAAATAAAGCTTGCTCAACTGATATTATGTCAACAGAATGAAGACAATCAGCTGTGGTAAGATTATAGGATTTAGAAATCTACATGAAATATAATTTCACCATGGCTATGCCAGGCATATTACAGAATATTATACTGATTTGCTTTCTTTATAAATGTATTTATAGATTTTTTATTATGGGCTGAACATGACTATCTTTTGTGTGAAAGACATCTAGTGCAGTACAAATGCATTATTTTGTGTTTTGTGCATTCTGTTTTCTTCCTACCTACTCTACAAGTCATTGTCCGAAAATAAATATACTATACTTCTACATAATTAAATCATTAAATAGGCAATAAAGTTAGAATAAAACCCAAAAGAATAATCTACAAAGCAGTTGGAAATGGAACCACAAATCTATTACTGTTAATATTATGTATCTATCTATCAAAGTCTTTATTTGATTATACATATGAGGCTGGGTGTATTTCTTCAGGAAGGGATATACCATGAAATCGTATAAAGTCTTCTTAGAAGTTTGTCTCCTAGAGTTCAACAAGGTTTAATCCTAGGAAAATGGGAATAGGATTGCAGCCTTAATGCTCTATGTACAAATGCTGAATTTTTGTATTTGGTTGGATATAAGGATGAGTGGTTTTGTGAATTTTGATTTCTCTCTGTTCCTCACTTTTCACATTCTGAAGTTTGGTTTTCCACATTTTCAAATCAGATTGTGGTTGTTGTTGTTGTTTAAGTCATCCTGAAAAATTGTCAGTATCTCATTGCAAATTTCTCCTATTTCTTCCCCATCCCTAGTTGGAAGATTGAGGATGCTGTGGTTTGTTTGTTTTTTAAAATGAGAAGAAGGTATAGATGAGAAATAAGGCTCTTTGTGAGCCTAAACTTGTGTTACAACTTTATCTTGTAAATGATATTATAAAGAAGCAATAGAAATAAAACAAACACATAATTAGAGGTAAGGTAAAGCAGCTATCTTTCTTTTAATAAGGTCCAGTGAAGGTCTGATTGTCTTGAACAACACATGTTTACATGCAATGTACAGTGAAGAATGCTGGTCATTTTCCAAGTGCAGAGTACCGCAAAATGAATGACAATTTTACAGAATCATGATCTGGAGGAAAACCCACTTTGAGCTATCTGTTCTAAACTTCTACTGCTTGCAAGAAAACAAAACATTCTGTATTTTTTTTTATGAGCAACAGAACAAAAGGAACAAAGAATTAGTTGTGGTGTCAACAGAAAACACCTTGATAATTCTTGTCAGCGAGGAAGCTCCTGTTAGTGCCCAAAACAGTAGAAGAGCGGAAAAAGAGTCTGCCTTGAATCACACAAACTCTAAAGCATACATGTTTCAACTGCTTGATTGTTCTATACTTCCACATTGGCCATGGGATTGAAGAATCAGAGTAGCATGGAACAGGTGGCTGAGTTCATCTTAACTAGCTTCCAACTTCCTAGGCATTTGGAGTTCCTCCTTTTTGTGGTGCTTCTTGTTGTTTTCCTGATAACAGTATCTGGGAATATCACCATCATCACACTGGTATGTTTGGACCAGCGCCTCCAAACCCCCATGTACTTTTTCCTCTGCAACCTCTCACTCATGGAGGTCTTCTTTGTCACATCTATTATCCCCAAGATGCTGGTGGACATGGTTTCTCTGAACAAAGCCATATCTTTCTTGGCCTGTGTGGCCCAATGTTATTTCTACTTCTTCTTTGGCGCCAGTGAAACCATACTTCTTGCTGTGATGGCCTTTGATCGCTATGTCGCCATCTGCAAGCCACTGCGCTATGCCATCATCATGAATGGATGGGTCTGCATTGATTTGGTCCTGGGCTGCTGGATCGGTGGCTTCCTGGCTCCTGTTGCCCCAATCATTTTACTCTACACACTATCCTTCTGTGGCTCTAATATTATTGACAATTTCTTCTGTGACTACACCCCAGTTGTAAAGCTTTCTTGCAGTGATGTGCAGGCCCTCCTGGCTCTGGAGAATATCTTGTGCTCAGTTATGCTCCTGGGCTCTTTGTTTGTCACTCTTCTCTCTTACGTCTACATCATTGGCACCATCTTGCGCATGCATTCCACCAAAGGTTGGCAAAAGACTTTTTCCACCTGTGCATCTCACATCACTGTAGCCTCCATTTTTTATGGCAGCTCAATTATCATGTATGCTTTACCCAGCCAGGGATACTCCCAAGATGTCCAGATGGGCCTTGCTGTCCTTACTGGGGTAGTTACTCCTTTACTGAATCCTTTTATTTATAGTCTAAGGAATGAGAAGGTCAAGGAGGCCTTCAAAGACTGTCTGAAGAAGAGAAAATTCACACTCTGAGAATGAAGCAACTTGTTGATCCATCCTGCTCTTCCTTTGTTGAACTGTCATTGGTTTGATTTGTTCTTCTACAAATTGCCTGGGGAATGAGGGCAAGTTGTAGGGTGATGTGGTCAGTGCTTTTTTCTTAAAAAAAATGTTTAGGGGTACTCTCATTTTCCTACTCATATTGAAATACTGCCCCTCAACGAGGCCAAACTTAGATTCACAAAATGTTTAGCGGTATGCGTACCACTGCATACTCCCAGAAAATGCACTGGATGGGTTAAATTTCACCTTACCTCCAAGGAGCACAAGGTGCTGTGCATGGTTCTCCCCACTACCCATTCCACCCTCACAACAACTATGTGAGGTAGGTTAAAGAAACAGAAATACAAAATTGGGTCATATGACAAGAAGGTTATTAAAAAACAAACAAAAAAATGCACCTTTTCTCTCACACACATGCCCAGAAAATGGAGAACATTGAGCAAACTTTTCTCCAGGTATTTTCCATGCTCTTAGGGTGCATGTGGGGTAGTAGTCACCTTTTTCCTTTAGAACACGGATGGGGAATCTCTGACATATGGGCCAAATATGGTGTTCCAGGTGCCCCCATTGGGATCTTCAAACCATTTCAGGGAAAGCTGCACCCATCCACCATACACATGATATTTGCATAAGTTATGGGGCAGATAAGGGTGCAGTTTCAAAGGAACTATTACAAGATTAAAGCAGGCTCCTGATTATTCCTTTGCTCAAGGAAGGCTTGCTTTCCAATGTCCAGCAGCTGATCAGATGTTGGCGCACACCTTGCTCAAGGAAGGTGAAGTAGTCCCCATTCAGTGAAAACCACTTCTTACTCCCAGTGATGTTCCTTGAAGTTGTGACTTAGGCACCTTGGCAGAACTACCAATCGTGTGACTTCATAATGATGCCACGTGATTGCCAAGTGAGGTGTCCCACCCAACAGTCAATCGTTGCCCTATAGCAGGCATGTCCAACAGGTAGATCGTGATCTACTGGTAGATCATTAGATGTCTGCAGTAGATCACTGGTAGATCACTGGCTCCCCCCAAAGAAGCTGAACAACTGTGGCTCCCCTAAAAAAAGCTCAACATTTTACCTCCTCCCTGAAAAAGCTCAATAACTTTGACCCGAACCCTAAAAAAGGGGGTAGATCACTGTCAGTTTTTAACTCTGTGAGTAGATCGCAGTCTCTTGGGAGTTGGCCACCTGTGCTCTACAGGGTGGAGCTGAATGTTCCCCTGCCTTCCCTCTAATGTCACTAAGTCTGGGATCCTGGGAAGGATGAAAACTCTTGGCCAGAATTCCAACACACTTGCTGCTGCTGTGCCCGACCCCACTTGCAACCTTGGGGTGGAGGAGAAAGAAGAAGATATGCTAATGTATTGTAATCATTATTATTTATTTATTATACCGCGCTTCATCTGAGGATCACAGGGCAGTTTGCAGTACAGGCATCCCCTCCACATACACACGATCAATATAATCAACTGCGTATACACGCAGTGCTGGGAAATAATCAAATAATCCAATTCAAACCTGGAAATGGTGGGAGAGAGCTGGAGAGTCCTTGTGGCTCATGGGGAGACCCTCCCTGGAGCTCAGAGAGGAAGCCGCTTAGAGACCAGAAGTGTAGTGGGGCTTTGTTTAGGCTGCTCAGCCTCCCTGTCTAACAGACGATGTGTGGGGCAGCGCAGCAGCAGCAGTCACTTTTCCACACGTCCTCCAGCCTCCAGCCCACCCCAGAGCTTCAATTCTAGTTGTGGATATTTTTGGACACAGTATTTTTGGTATGGGTTGAAGAGAGAGTGGCAGAGAGGGAGTTTAAAGGGTGTTTAAAGGGTGCTCCCCACCTTATGTGATTTCACTTAAGCATGAGGGGGCCTGGAACGTAACCCCAAGATAAGTGGGGAGTCACCTATATAAAAACACAACAATGCATAACATAACTACAAATGAAACCCTCCCCCAAACCACATACACAGTTTCAAAGGCCATAGATTATTTAATTAGCCAAAGGTACAGAGAGGATGAATGGTTTTTTCCTGGCACCTAAATATATGAAAGCAAGGCACCAGGCGAGCCTCCCTGGGGAGAGCATTCCACAAACAGTAAGAAGAAAAGTGCTTACTGTTGCTAAAGGTGAGCCCTGCTCTAAATGAACTGTTGGAAAATAACTCCTCCCTCTGGAAAATAATTGATGAAATAGTATTATAAGATGTTTCTCCTTTTGAATGCAACCTGTCAATATCACGCCAGCACACATGTTTCAGAGTAGGAGAATATAGTAGCTGAATCATCGATCGTCTGCTTTGCCCGAATAAGGTCCCAGGTGCGACCTCTACCATGTCCAGGCAGAGAAATTGCTGGAGAAATTGCCAACCCAACCCAAATATAGGATTGAACATGGGACTGTTTGGAACTGGAAGGGGCTGCTGGGAATTGTAATCCAAACACATTGATAGCACAAGGTTGAAGAAGACTGATTCATGCAGCAGAAACCTGGTCTGTTCCATCTCAGTATAATTGTCACCTTCCCAAGGTACCTTTAAATAAAGTGTGCCTTGCTGGTATTCTATAGAGAGGATTAGGAAAGGCACCCAGCCCTGGTAAGATTCATGGACTTGGAAAACTTACATCACTTCTGTTTGAGACGTTCAGCTGATAACTGCACCATACTTAGGCAACACTCTACAAATTTACTCTACACAAGAACGCTTATCTCTTATGGATCAAGATGGGTAACTTTGCTTTTTGTGTAATGTTTACCTTTCTCTTTGTTTTCTTTTTTGTTGGTTTTAATGTCTCTGTTCTTTTGTTTATATATTGTAAGTCACTTAGAATTACTTTAGTAAAACAGTGACCAGTAAATTTAACGAAGCAAATAATAGACACACTATTATCTGTGCTATACTACACAATCCAATCATTACATAGCAAAAAGTTAGCATTTTAATTGTTTTAGCGCTTGATCTGAAAATGCATATGAGGCTCTCCTCTCCAGGAACGTATTTAAAGGGCAAATTTTTGATGTCTAGGAGCCAATAAAACTGCTTAGAGGTTTCAATACAACCAAGGAGTACATAAACGTTGCAAAATAAATTGTTTTTTAATAAGTACAGTAAGAAGTCATTCCCACAGGGTTCAATGGAAATTTGAACACTAGTAATGTATGAGAAAATGTTGATTATTTTTTTTAAAAAAACACGTATTCCTTAAGAAGATTGGGATGCTCTGGTTTTAAGTGTAAGCCTTTTGGCAACTGTAAGGGAGGGGGACCCTGTTAGTGCCCAGATTACTGGAAGAGATGAAAAACAGCTTTCCTTAAATCATACAAACCCTAAAGTGTATATGTGTGTGTTTCATCTGCTTGATCATCCCACAATTCCACTTTGGCCATGGAAATGAGGAATCACAGCAGCATGGAACAGGTGACCGAGTTCATCTTAATTGGCTTCCAACTTCCTAGGCAATGGGAGCTCTTCCTTTTTGTGGTGCTGCTTCTTGTTTTCCTGTTAACGGTAGCTGGGAATATCACCATCATCACACTGGTATGCTTGGACCAGCGCCTCCAAACCCCCATGTACTTTTTCCTCTGCAACCTCTCACTCATTGAGGTCTTCTTCGTCACATCTATCATCCCCAAGATGCTGGTGAACATGGTTTCTCTGAACAAAGCCATCTCTTACTCGGGCTGTGTGGCCCAATGCTATTTCTACTTCTCCTTTGGCGGCAGTGAAGCCATCCTTATTGCCGTGATGGCCTTTGATCGCTATGTCGCCATCTGCAAACCTCTTCGCTATACCATCATCATGAATGGATGGGTCTGCACCGATCTGGTCTTGGGCTGCTGGGTTTGTGGTTCCGTCACTACACTTGTCCCCATCATCCTGCTCTTGGACCTATCCTTCTGTGGCTCTAACACCATTGACCATTTCTTCTGTGACTATGCCCCAATGATAAAGCTTTCTTGTAATGATGTACATTTCAACCTGGCTCTGGAGAATGTCGTGTCCTCGGTGGTGCTCCTGGGCTCTTTGTTTGCCACTCTTCTCTCTTACGTCTACATCATTGCCACCATCTTGCGCATGCAATCCACCACAGGTCGACTAAAGACATTTTCCACCTGTGCATCTCACATCACTGTTGCTTCCATCTTTTATCTCTGTTCAATCTTCATGTACTCTTTACCCAGCCAGGGATACTCCCAAGATGTCCAGATGGGCATTGCTGTCCTTACAGCAGCTGTTACACCTTTACTGAACCCTTTTATTTATAGTCTAAGGAATGAGAAGGTCAAGGAGGTATTCAAAGACTTTCTGAAGAAAAGGAGATTCACACTGTGAGAATGAAGTAACTCTTCCATTCATCTTGCTCTTTCGTCATAGCATCCTGCTGATTCAGTTTGTATTGGTTGATTGGAATGCGAACAAGGGTGTTGAACTGCTGGTTGTGTTGTTTCTTCTGCATTGATGTCATTTGGTAGGAAGAAGCGACCCCTTCTTTCAACTTCATTGAAGGTAATTAAACAATTGCACCATCCAATCACTGCAAGAATGTTGGAAGTGCAATTCAGTCACCACGTGTAAAATGACCGTAGATAGAAAACTGGGTAACTGGGGTTTGACCGTCACTCTGTGTGTTCCAGTCCATGTTTTCTGGCAATTAGAGCTGCTGGAATAAAGGGTGAAAAGTAGGATTAAATATCCTGTAGATCCCTTGCTAGTATTCTTGGGGATGCAGTCTCAAATTTAATTTCCCCCCTCCTCCTGAATAACTCCCAAACCAGGGAATGTATATATTGGCACTGCTACTGACATCTTCATGAGTTTTCCCACTGCCTGAAACTACTGGAGTGCTCTATCCTTCTCATACTTCTGTAGAAACTGAGCTCCATCTGATTTGTTGTTGTTTTGTCGTTTAAGGTAAAGGTAAAGGTACCCCTGCCCGTACGGGCCAGTCTTGCCAGACTCTAGGGTTGTGCGCTCATCTCACTCTATAGGCCGGGAGCCAGCGCTGTCCGCAGACACTTCCGTGTCACGTGGCCAGCATGACAAGCTGCATCTGGCGAGCCAGCGCAGCACATGGAACGCCATTTACCTTCCCGCTGGTAAGCGGTCCATATTTATCTACTTGCACCCGAAGGTGCTTTCGAACTGCTAGGTTGGCAGGCGCTGGGACCGAACGACGGGAGCGCACCCCGCCACGGGGATTCGAACCGCCGACCTTTCGATCGGCAAGTCCTAGGCGCTGAGGCTTTAACCCACAGCGCCACCCGCATCCCTGTTTTGTCGTTTAGTCATGTCCAAATCTCCGTGACCCCATGGACCAGAGCAAGCCAAGCAGAGCACGCTCCATTTGATACAGACAGACAACTGTCATAACTGTGTATATGATTGTTATCTGCATGACTTTGGAGTTTAACTTATTGTGACTTATACTGCAATTTGATATTCTTTGAGAAATTTATTGGGATTGAGTATGGCAGAGGGTTTTTAGGGGATAGTGTAGAGAGTTTTCATTAGAACTGAGCTGAAATATCAAATAATTGTCACTGTGAGAAAGTTCTTCCTGATGCTTAGCCAAAATCTCCTTTCTTGTAACTTGAATGCATTGATTCGGGTCCCACTCTCTAGAGCAGGAGAAAACAAGCTTGCTCTATATTCCCCAAGTGGTAGCCCTTTAGATATTTGAAGACGCAAAGGCAAATCTAGGGGAACAAAACTGGTTTGGTTGCACTGGCCACGGAACTTCTGGGGCACTGCAACAATTTGAGACACAAAAGTCTGCAAGTAGAAAAAGGCTAGCATATTTCTTCTCAGTCTCTTCTTTCCCAGAGTAAACATACCCAACTCCCTCATCTGTTCCTCATAAGGCTTGGTTACCAGACCCTTGCTAATCTTGGTTGCCCTCCTCTGCGCATGCTCCGCCTTGTCAACATCCTTAAATTATTCTTTATCACAAACTTTTTCCTAGAGACACATTTTTGTACACATTATGTGGCTTAAAGACAGCTGAGTTTCAGTATGCATACTATTTCAGAAAGTGTTTAAATGCAAGCTGAATTGAATCTTTCCCACCATCCCTGCAATGAGTCCAGATCCACTTTGTCTCTAAGTTTAATAAGCAGAAGGAATATACCATCTGTGTTTCATACGTCATCTAGGAGATGGTTACCACAATCCCTTGGACATTAATTTCACAACAAGGGAAGCAAAGAAATAGGGGCGTATTTTGATTTGTGTTGTATGTCATGCAGTGTCTTTAACAGAGGTGTTTATATGATACTATTTACATGAAAGTCCTACTTGCACATTCAGTGTGATATCATATCCATCGTCCACACACATTAAAGCTTTGTTTTCAGTGTTTGTGGAATGGGTCCTATTCATATACAACTGTATGCATGAAGAACTCTATATGATTAGAACTCTGAGGCAAAATTTAGTTACTCAAAGAGATATCTGTCTTTAAGTTTCCTTTCATTAATGCTGAATGTGTGGCTAATAGAAATGAGGGGAGAACCTACCTATTTCTGGCTTCCAAAAGAAAATAGGTGAACCAAAAAACAACCATTTCCCCAAAAGTATGCTTCTCAAATTTTGCAATGCTGTTGTTCCACCAAGTAATATGTACAAAATGCACGTACTAGAGTGAAGTGTGCGTATAAATGTGTATATTAGTGACATTTGCTTTGCAAAAATGTTTGTATTTGAGAAATGTACAATAAAATGATGGTGATGAATTTTAAGTAGAATTTTTTAAAAATGAAAACCGATATGGAAATGTAGAGAACTGAATTTATGATGATGAGAAATGGGAAATTGAGAGAAATCAAAGTTGACAGGTAAGAAAAATTAACAATTCACAAATATTACGTATCAGGGGCTTTCTCCCACGCTTGCTTCATTCAGCAACTCCCCTGCTCTGTTGGAGAATTTTAAGTTCAGCTGATGGATGTTGTACATATATGGGTGTTTGCTTGTTAATAAAATATTTCTTCTAAATTCATACCTTGAACCTGGAGCTTCAAAGATCATGCATGTTACTAGGATTGAATACTGTGTACAACCTGCCTTCATTTTTTCTCTCCTTCCCTGCCCTGACTTCATGCAAATTCAGGATTGTGATGTGTGACTAGAAAACCTCCAGTGGAGACTACGTGATGATAACCTTACTTTTTTATGCATATAGGAAGAAATACACTCCATTTGTGTTCTGGAACAGTTGACAGGTATGCATGAATACTTCCTTTCCCCTTAATTTTTCTTTTCCCTTCTAACTCCTACAAAACAGATAAATGATGCCAACTATCACTTCATTATCTAAGTTTATCATGGTCCCTTGAGGCCTCCTCCAAAGCAAACACTTCTAGCTGTGAATATATAAAGGGGAGACAATTGGTGGAAACTAGTCCCCAACACACACGTAAGGCAAACTTTAAATTGAAGAATATGTGTATGGAAGCACCCATTCAAATAGCAAAGGCACATGTTGAGTCAGGCCCAGAAATGGAGTCCACCATCTACCCTTACACCAGCCAGCTCTCTTTGCAAGCCTCCCTGCCTTTGAAGCAATGTGAAGAAACAACAAAACAAATATTTTGAGTTCTATCCAATATTAAACCTACTTAGAGTGGACCCGTTGAAGGGAAGGGGAGCCTCATACTGAAGTACCAAATTTGTGGACCACTAAGCCTCTCTATCTGGTGTCCATAACTCTCCTCAGGCCACACCCTTCATTTGCTCTGCTTCACACCCACACATGTTATTCCACATCTGGAATGTGTCCTTGAACTCTGCTTCTTGCTTGTCTGGATGGAAGAGAGGGGAGTATGAGTGTAAATGTGGCCCAGATAAGAGTCCTGCCCTCGGATCAATAAAGTTTCTCAACCCAGGCAATAGAAGGAGGATGTCAGCAGGCTTATATCAGAGGACCTGCCCAAGGGACCCATTCCTGAGCAAATGTCATGTCAGGATTTACGATCTCCCTCTCACACCAAAGAGACAGCAGGCTGTTGGTTTTATAACGTTAAGATTTATCGGTATTTACACAGTAGTTCAGTCCAAGCACACAGCTCAATCTTCCTCACTCGATGGGTCAGTTGAGCCCACTGGAGGGTGGGCTCTTTTCCAACAGGATATCCACCATCTGCTCCTCCTCCTGTTGGCGTGACACCAAGCCTGGACTCTTCTCATCCTCCTAGTATGAGGAGACTCAGGAGCAGATTGTCCAGTTTTCTCCTCCTCCCCTGAGAGCATGTCTGAAAGCTGCGGCCCCTCTGCCTGCCTTACGCTGTCCTGGAAATTTATGACCTGCATTCCAGGATGTGAGTGGCTTGCCTCACTTTTGAAGAAAGCAAGCCTCTGTCTCTTTCTGCCTGTCACCCCCCTTGGTCCTCGGAGCCCTCGCTGTCACTCTGGGAAATAATGTTCCTGACATGTTGCAAGCAGCCTCCTCTCTCTATTTTCCCCTTTCTTTTTCTTTTAAAGAAAGCCAGTCAGTGCCTGTCGGTCTCAGACCCCTGGAAGTGATTAGGGGATCAAAGCAATGCTTTGGTCGAAGGAACCACTGGGCTGAGCTGATTCTGCAAGCAGCCTCCTCTTGACTGAGCTGGGATAGCTCAGTCAGTACAGCATGAGACTCTTAATCCCAGGGTTATGAGTTCAAGCCTCATGTTTTTGTGATTTGTCCCCACAAAACACTTCATTACAGTTTCTTCCTATCTATTCAAAGGGCCTCTGCTGCACAATACCAAATGTAACAATTCACTGATAATTGTATCTATGTACTGGCTCACCGGGAAAACTTCAGAAATACATATAGACATGTGAGCTCAGCTACTCAGCAGCCCCTCTGCCTGAGTGATAATTCCTGGCATCCTGATACCTGAGTGCCAGACAGGTAGCCATTCCAGAAATAACAAACCCAGATGAAGACAAAAGGGTGTGATTAACTTGGCTGGGAAACAGGGAAATGTAAATATCTCTTTTGTTACACTTAATGGGTGTTTGGTGGAGGGCAAGGGGAACCATGGGGCAGGGTCCAGGATGCTTTGATTACTGCCTCCAGACCTCCCCTTTCATGATGTATTAGTGATGTAGTTTGGGGGGGGTGTAACATGGGGATTAGCAGCTAATAAAAGTTTGGGTTCTCTTTTGTTTGGGGCTTCCATCTTGTTTCACCTTGTGGCAGGTGGGAGTCCTGTCGCGACAGTCTTCAATAAAGACCAAGCCTACTGGCTGCTGTGTTGCTCTGGTATTCCTAGCTGGTGTCCTTGTTTTTTGTCCAAGGGAGCCCTCAGATTTCTCCATTAACACTTCCAACTCTACAATTGTGTGTTTCCATGCAGATACTGGTCTGTGCAAAATTAGCCACCTTCCTCCTCCCAGTGGGCATCAGTGACTCTCCTGGTGAGAGGTCAAGCAAGCACAGCTGTCCCACCTTGCCACCCATTATTCCAAAGGAAATGATCGGGCATTACTGTTGCAGTGCTTTGAGTCCATAGTAGGGTGACCTAACAAGAGAGAAGGGTAAGATATCTCATTGGTGGCTCAGTCCGGCCAATGCAGTAGTGTCCTAGTGTAATTGTTGGGGCAGCAATAGGATTGAAGGAGCCCCAGGTTCGTGGTAGCCCCACAGGTGCAGATGACCCAACAGGGTTATCACTAACCTGGAGCACTCTTGACCTTACAGACATTGCCTCTCCCTGTTCCACTACTGTCCTGACCAGCACAATGCAGCCAATGACAGGAGGTTATTTACCTCTGTACCCAACCAGGAAACACGTTTCCTACTTAGTAACAGCAATGAACATTAAAATAATAGCATCAGAAAACGGGGTGGGTCCTCAAGGGTAATTTAGCTGTATCGTGGTACCTTGGTTCTCAAACGCCTTGGTACTCAAATGCCTTGGTTCCCAAATGCTGAAAACCCAGAAGTAAGTGTTCCGGTTTTTCAACGTTTTTCAGAAGTCGAATGTCCAATGCGGTTGTCAGCTATTGTTTCCGGGGCACCTGCACCAAATAGAAGCCACACCTTGGTTTTCAAACCTTTTCAGAAGTCAAATGGACTTCCAGAACGGATTAAGCTTGAGAACCAAGGTACCACTGTATTGGCGCTTTTGTTTTTGCTATTTATTTTGCATTTTTGTTTTTGAGGCTACTGATTGATTATTGTGTGACTGCAGAAATGGATGAAAGCCCCCCATCCAAACAATGACTATCATCAGTGCAGGTAAGAATTTAATTATTTTTTATCATTTACAACATTGTCTTATTTATTTTATAGTACAGTACATTGGTTATCGCTTTCATTTTATGTCTTGTTAGATTGTAAAATTCGTGTAAAATTGCTGTTTTAGGGGTTGTTTTTAAAGTCTGGAATGGATTAATCCATTTTGCATTACTTTCAATGGGAAAGCGTGCCTTGGTTTTGGAATGCTTTGGTTATGGAATGGACTTCCGGAACGGATTAAGTTTAAGAACCAAGGTACCACTGTAGGTCAAACCTTCTCATGCAGGGAATCTGCTCCTACTAGCCCAAGAGAAAACATTCTGAAGTGTGCTTGATTCACCTTGAATCCCCAAGATTGAAATTTTATGCATGTCTACTCAGAGGAAAGCCACAGAGTTCAATGGGACTTGCTCCCTGGTATGATACAACCGTATATATGTTTAACTGGGAGTAAGTCCTATTGAATTCAGAAGGAGCTCCCTTTGTGTAGATATGCATAGCTAATGCATTGATAGTATCAAAAATAGGAGTGGCCCTACAGATGTTCAACTCCCAGCATCCCTGGTGATTGACCTTGCTGCCCTGGGCTATTGGGATTTGGGAGTTCTGCAGCATCTGGATGGCCAAAGGTTAACCCCCTGGTTCTAAAGCATCAAACATTTACTTTTCAGCTCTTAATTGTTTGTAACTATTATTCCTTTGGGAACCTCTCCATGAAATGTAGAAAATGAAGACTTCTGGGAATTTGAGTCTACAAGCACCTAAGAAGGCATCTATCTCATCAGGTAGATGATAGATACCCATGACAAAGAGTGCTAAGAACAGCTTCTTTCTCCTGCTATTGCCTCCTTGTGTTTATCTTCCCTTTTTATTTCCAGAAAAAGCAGCACACAAACATTACCAGAACTCTGACAGATATACTCTGAAATCTGTATTGTTGCTCCTAATGCCACATCAAAAGAACACATTCTTGCATGCACTTTAATTTCTGTTATTAGTGGGAGTTTTGTTTTGTTTTTTTAAGTATGCAATTGCTAGGAGATTCCAGTGTTCCTTGTTGGATGGGAAGAAATTTGAATGCTCTGCTTTTTATCATATATTAAAATAGCTTTTTATTTATTTCTTCACAGGCTGAAGAGAGGAAACACAACAGGTAAGTTCAGCAAACAATAGATTGTAGGCAATAATGGATTGTGGACAATATTAGTTGAAATTAATGAGCATGATTGGGGTCTTTTATTTTTCAACAGGTCTACCGTGAGTAAAAATTAGTTGGATACAACATACAGTGGAGAAATAAAGAGTGGCCATAGACATAAAGACCAGTGAAGAATGTTGAGAGAGAAAAGTTTTGCTCCCTCTCTCATAAGATTAAAGCTTGGGGACATCCACTGAAGCCGGACGTTGGAAAAACCCAGGAGAGACAAAACAAAGTACTTCACATAGCACAGCCTTGACCGATGGCTTGCATGTGTGTGAATGTGTTTCTTCTGCTTGATCATTCCACAACTCCACATTCACCATGGGACTGAGGAATCAGAGCAGCATGGAGCAAGTGGCCGAGTTCATCTTAACTAGTTTTCAACTTCCTAGACACCTGGAGCTTATCGTTTTTGTGGTGCTTCTTGTTGTTTTCCTGATAACAGTAGCTGGGAATATCACCATCATCACACTGGTATGTTTGGACCAGCGTCTCCAAACCCCTATGTACTTTTTGCTCTGCAACCTCTCACTCATGGAAGTCTTCTTTGTCACATCTATTATCCCCAAGATGCTGGTGGACATGGTTTCCCTGAGCAAGGCCATCTCTTTTTTGGGCTGTGTGGCTCAATGCTACTTCTACTTTGTCTTTGGTACGTGTGAAACCATCCTTCTTGCTGTGATGGCCTTTGATCGCTATGTCGCCATCTGCAAGCCACTGCGCTATGCCATCATCATGAATGGATGGGTCTGCATTGATTTGGTCCTGGGCTGCTGGATCGGTGGCTTCCTTGGTCCTGTTGCCCCAATCATTTTACTCTACCCACTATCCTTCTGTGGCTCTAATATTATAGACCATTTCTTCTGTGATTATGCTTCAATGCTAAAGCTTTCTTGTAATGATGTACATTTCAATCTAACTTTGGCTTCAGTCCTGTCCTCAGTGGTGCTCCTCAGTTCTTTGTTTGTCACTCTTCTCTCTTACATCTACATCATCGTCACCATCTTGCGCATGCACTCCACCAAAGGTCGGCAAAAGACATTTTCCACCTGTGCATCTCACATCACTGTTGCCTCCATTTTTTATGGCAGCTCAATTTTCATGTACTCTTTACCCAGCCAGGGACGCTCTCGGGATGTCCAGAAAGCAGTTGCTGTCCTTACTGGAATGGTTACCCCATTGCTGAACCCTTTTATTTATAGTCTAAAGAATGAGAAGGTCAAGGAGGCCTTCAAAGACTGTCTGAAGAAGAGGAAAGCTCTTTGATGTATCCTTTCCTTTCTTCATTGCACCATCATGATTCAGTTTGTACAGGTTGATTAGTATGTGAGCAAGTATGTGATGGACTGCTGGTTGTGCTGTTTCTTCTGGGCTGAAGGTATTTTTGGGGGGTGGGTGCAAGTCCTGTCTTTCAGCTACTATATCACCAGCAAATGACTGCATGAACATTGAAAATGCAAGATATCACCACGTGTAAAATGGTTATAAATAGAAAACTGGGTAACTAGGAGCCAGTGTGGTGTAGTGGTTAAAAGTGGTAATCTTGTAATCTGATGAACCGGGTTTGTGTCCCCGCTTCTCCACATGCAGCTGCTGGGTGACCTTGGGCTAGTCACACTTCTTTGAAGTCTCTCAGCCTCAGTCACTTCAGAGATTGTTTGTTGTGGGGGAGGAAGGGAAAGGAGATTGTTACCTGCTTTGAGACTCCTTAGGGTAGTGATAAAGCGGGATATCAAATCCAAACTCCTCCTCCTCCTCTTTTTCTAACTGGGTATGACGGACAGACCCCAGGTTAGCCTCCTATTGACCCAGAAACCAATCAAGACTTTGTCTATTATTGTCAAATCAGGAGAGAGGAGTGAGTTAGAACACAACAGTTTAAATATCAAATAGGGCTTTTCTGACAGTGAATGTTTGTTAGGACTTAGAGAGCACCTAGATAGGGCACAGTTCAGAGCCTGCTTAGGGCTGAATTAGAAGTTAGCTAGGCAGGGCAAGCCAGATCATTTTCATGAGGGAAACATAAACATCTTAGAAGGGACTGGGAGTGTTTTATTGGTTGATGCTGGCACCCATCTGTCTCAAGAGACAATGCAGTGTGATCAGACCACTAGCTACTCTAGAAGGCATTGTTGTGTTTAGAGAGAGGTTCAAAGTGAGAATTTCAATAAAGTTCTGTAAAGAGTGAGTGAAACAATGAGCTGTGCCTTATTAGAGAGCCCATTAATCTGTATCTCTCATCAAGATTA